CTTACTTACTTACTTACTTACTTACTTACTTATTTATTTTAATGGAGGCACTGGGGACCTCATGCATGCTAAGCACACACACTACCACTGAGCGCTACCCTCCCCCTGACTTCCTGAATAATGTTCTGTACGTAATAAAACTGGTTTTAAAATACCTAATAAATATCAATGAGTTCATTTGTGGTGCTTAGTACTTCTGACTCTCTCTTCCCTTTTGTTCAGCTGAGTGCAACTGAAATCCACAAAGCTGGCAGCAGTGGGAATTTCAGGATGAAGCTTATGTCAGACTACGTAAACCTGTGTCAATGCAGACCCCTTGACCTTGATCACACACATAGAACACCTGAATTAGAGGCAAAGTGAAATTCCTGGTACCCTCCCATGTAATCCATAGGGAAAATCCCCTGAATTGAAATTAAGATGAGCATTTCAGTTCCAAGTATTGATCTTGTACCAACAGACACAGAAACAAAGGTGTATATGAGTCAAAGCAGCAGAAAGCTTGAGGGAGGTGAAATCTGTCTGCAACAGGCTCCTTCTGTCCTTTCTAATCTTGTCGACCTCCTTTCATAGCTTTCAGTGATGATTTCAAAGTCCTCAAATGTTGTCCTGCCCTCCTTATTCCAAAACCAATGATGACATCATTGTGGGAAAGGCTGATTACCTAACAGGCATTTAATGTGCGGTGGATTCTTAAGATTTACTTTGATACATACTTCTGATCCCAAGAGCACTTGCATTTTATTGAGATAATGCCTTCACCCGGGCAAGTGAATCCTGAATGACAGCAACATGGGTATCAAAAACGGGCTATCAGGATACTGCTTGTGTGTGTATAAACTATGTGGTACCTCTAAAATCATACCACATGAACAGCTAGATGCTAGCTGGAGAACAGATAAATACAGCTTATATTTTAAGCAACAGAATGATGGTTTGATGTTAGTACATAAGAGTGAACTGGTTTAGGAGAGAAAATGGTCTCTCGACTATTCTAATGGAAGCAAATATACATTGCTGACGTCTAACACCAAGTCAGCCAGGTTCCCGCACTCATTAAAACACCCTAAGTGAAGACAAGGAGTACAGTACACTGTGCTGTGTGCAAACAGGAGTGTGAGCAAAGCAAAGCGTTATTACAGAGCAAGGAGAGAGAAATTCTCCTGTGGATTCAGAGAAAAAAGCCTCGGAGAAACTAGTGTCAAAACACAGACTGGGCAAGATCAGTTAAGACCTGAAGAGACGGACAAAGAAAGTGGTTTGAGTTGATCTGGTTAATTTTTAATGGATGTTAATATGTATGAAGGTGAAGTTTCTTTTTCTTAACAGGTGTTGGGGTCGATGACATGTTTATCATGATTTCTGCCTGGTGGAAGACCAACATCACGGATAGCATAAGAAAGCGGATGTCCGACGTCTATTCAGAAGTGGCAGTGTCCATTACAATCACCACTGTCACCAACGTCCTGGCCTTCTATACAGGGATTATGACCTCTTTCAGGTCCGTACAATACTTTTGCATCTACACGGGAACAACCCTATTCTTTTGTTATTTATATAACATCACCTGTTTTGGAGCATTTATGGCCCTGGATAGTAAAAGAAATGTGGTCTGTCTACACTGGTTGAAGAAGCCAGAAACTCCTGACCAAAAATATTCCTCATTAAAAAAGTGCTGTTGTTTCCCATACGGTTCTCTCCCAGATGAACATCAGACAGGTGCCCACCCAATGAGTCTGTTTTTTAGAGACTACTTTGGTCCTTTCCTCACCAGCACTGTGTCCAAGTGTTTTGTAGTGCTTATATACGTGTTGTATATTGTGAGCAGTATACTTGGGTGTTTCCAAGTGCAGGAAGGTTTAGACCTTCGGAATTTAGCAAGTGACGACTCCTACATCACACCATATTTCAATGTAGAAGAAGAGAATTTTTCAAGTTACGGTCCCAGAGTTATGGTTATCATTACTGAACCTCTTGACTACTGGGATAAAGATGCTAGGCAAAAGCTGGAAAAGTGTCTGGCAGATTTTGAAAACAGTGACTATGCAGATAGAAATCTTACAGAGTTTTGGTTACGAGACTATGTGCAATTTATGGACAGTCACCACCAAGATATAAATAATAAGAATTCTTTTATACACAATATTCCCAGTTTTGAATCAGATTTTCCACTTTTTATGTATGATATTAATATTACATCAGATGAAATCATTTGCTCCCGGGCCTTCATTCAGACCATGGGTATTTCTTCTTCAACCAATAAGAAGCTGATGTTACGCCAGTTCCGAGATTTGGCTGAAAAGTGTGAAATTCCCCTAATGGTGTATAACCAGGCATTCATATATTTTGATCAGTATGCTGCAATATTAGAAAACACGATTCAAAATGTAATTGTTGCATCAGCAGCCATGTTAATTGTTTCCTTATTGTTAATTCCACACCCTCTCTGTTGCTTGTGGGTAACTTTCTCTATTGCTTCTGTGATTGTGGGAGTAACAGGTTTCATGGCGTTCTGGAATGTCAACCTTGACTCCATATCCATGATTAATCTTGTCATTTGTATAGGGTTTTCTTTTGATTTTTCTGCGCACATTTCCTACGCATTTGTTTCCAGTTCAAAGCCCTCAGTAAACCAAAAAACCATCGAGGCATTGTATCTGCTAGGCTACCCCGTGTTACAAAGTGCAGTTTCAACAATAATAGGGGTGTGTGTCTTATCTGCAGCTAAAGCATACGTCTTCAGGACATTTTTTAAGATTATGCTTCTTGTTATGGTATTTGGAGCTGCTCATGGCCTAATTTTTATTCCTGTATTCCTAACCTTTTTTTTTTAAGTTCGTTTGAATAGCCACTAACAAATCAAAGACCAATTACGGAATTATTGCCCCAATCCAATCTGATAAAAATGCACTATTAAAAATAGTTTATAAACTAAAAACAAAGGCATGTTGCCTTGGCTTGGAAATCCCATTTTAAGATATCATTTAAAACATCCTGAGAAAAATTAGCTAGTCTTACATTGCAATATGTTTACAAATTACAAACTGTTGTCATCTTTATTATGGTCTATACAAGGCATAAGGTATAACTTTCCGATTATTATTTCCTGCTATTTCATCGTTAGAAGCTTATGTCTGTAATACAGATATTTTATGTATTACACTATATAAATGGAATATTATTTTCATTGTACTTCCTATATACATTCGTATGTAAAAGTGCAACTGATTACTATTTATTCTCCCAGTCTGAGGTTTTTCTGTGCATTTTCTTTTTTTTAATCATTAATTAAAAATTTGTATAAATGATTAATGCTAATGATAATCATTATCATCATCATCATCATGTCTGACTTTGGGACTTCTCAGTGCCTTACACTTGCTCATCAGGACATCAGGTGCTAAGGATTTTCTTGTGTGGGTGGGTTCAATTAAGCCCCAAAGTCCAAATAAATTTAAATCAACAGAACTCCAGATTAAACACCATTTTCCAAACACTGAATTATTTTAAACTCCCAAGTAACAGTTCATGTTTTTAAGAGATTTCATTCAGCTTCCACGGCAAGACATGAATTTTTTTTTTCCCTTTTCCATTAAAAAAAATCCTCATCAATCTCTGGCTGGTGACAAATGAGCATCAATTGACAAGGAATTTGCTTCTGCTCTACTTTAATAATGTCTGCGATTTCTGTAGTAATTTAGAATAGGAAGGCATTTTAATGTTATCTCATTTGATTCCATGAAGTAGGCAGCATTATTTTACCTACAAGAAATCATGGCTCAGAGAAAGAGAAAGAAAAATACCATATGACATCACTCATATGTGGAATCTCAAACAAACAAACAAAAAAGACACAAATGAACTTTCAGGCCAGACACCAAGGTCCAGGGTGTTTTTCCGGCCCGGTGACCCAGGATAAGTGTGGTTCTTCAGGGTCAGTGACCTAGGCCAAGGATGTGCGTTCCGTACCAATGACACAGGCCCAGGCTGTGCCTTAAGGGCCAGTGACCCAGGACCAGGGTGTGTCTTCAGGGCCAGTGTCCAGGCCCAGGGTGTGTCTTTAAGGCCAGTGACCCAGGCCCAGGGTTGCCATTAGGGCGAGTAATCCAGGATCCAAAGATTCCCAGATCTGTGATTGCAGAAACAGCTTTCTGTGTGAAGCCTGATCCCATGGTCAGGTCCTTCCGTGTGAGCAGTGAATATAACCAGGGTGCAGCAGGTTTTAAGTTCCATAGACAGCTAATGGGCAGGAAATGTGGACTGGAAAACTCTCCGAAGACAAAGTAAATGCCTCATTCTACAAGAAAGTTCAACAATTATCATTGATAGAAGGTGGTTGGAGTTATGCGAACGGCAGTGAAGGATTTCATGAATGAATGAATCCCATTTACAACTCAGAATCATCGAAGTTTTTCCTGTAGTGGAACAACCGGTACAATGAACAAAAATAACTTGTGGAGTATAAAGAAAAGGTAATTTTATTTTTTTATCTAATGGTCCTTTGTATAAAGGCTAATGACTAATACATAGACACATTTATTTGGTGGGTCTGATTTGTCTTGTGCCCTGGGGGGCCTTATCCGATATCTTTGAAGAAATAAAAATCCTACCATCACTTAGGTCACAAATTTCTAAAATTAAAAATGTCTTGTGCCTATTGGATTTACTTTCTCTCCCGAAACAAACAGATAAAACATTAGACAAAATATATGAAACTGTTTTAAAGGCATTGGACATTGTGTGTGGAGGACAGTGATGGCTGAGAGGCAGAAATCAAGTGATGTGAGCCCTGTGGTGGTTACAGCAGCCTTGAGGGCATTTCCAGGCTGTAGTGCAGGGTGAAGGAAGTCTGGTACAATCCAGCAGACTCCCTCAATTGAGAAATGGACCTGAGAGTTCAAGGTGACCAGATCATCTTAAGTCTGTGGGCCAGCATCCTGGAAAAGAGAGCTGTACAAAGAAAGAGTCCTTGAGATCTGCAAGAGGGTCTTCCAAGTTCGGCACATGCATGTGAGAAACCAATGGGCCTGAGTCCAGGGACGGAACCTGTTGAAAGGATTAGCTGGAGCAGTAGGTGGTGATCAAGGTCAAAATAGTGGCTGTCTCCTCAGCTAGACTGGAAAACTTCACAATTATGAAGCCCCGGGTCGAGTACTCAGAGGTTCTTGACTCAGTAGTGTGAAATAATTAGTCCTAAAGTAAACACTTTAAAATATTCAAAAAATTAAGTCGAGATATGAATGATATAAAAAAATATAAATCAAATTTCTAGCAATGAAAACTGTAACATCTAAGATTAAAAACTACACTGCATTGGATTAATGGAAGATTTAATTTCACAGAAGAAAAATTTAGTGAATTCGAAGGCATAGGAATAGACAGTCAAAAATGAAACACAAATTTAAAAAGTTATTGAGTTGAGGGTCAACTTCAAGTAACCTGATATACATGTAATTGTAATTTCTCAAGTCAGGTGAGTAGGAAAAACCTTGAAAAAATAATGGCTGAAACTTTTCCAAATTTGATGAAAGCTGTAGACAGAGAGCTGGAAAATTCTGCAGATCCCAAGCAAAAGAATAAAAGAGCCCTGGAAATCATAATTGCATCAGTCAGTGCATAAGATCTTTTCTTATTTATTTATTTTAACTTTTTAAATTTTTAAATTAAATTTTTTTTATTGAATGAAAGATTCCTTAAATTCTGTAGTGCTTTATAACATTCAAAATTTTCACACACGATTTTGTATAATGCCATAGTAACCCTTTCTACCTCCCTACCCTATATTGCCCTCTCTCCTTCCCTGTCCTCACTGGTAACCACTAGTGTGTTCTCTATATCTGAGTTTGCTTCTTTTTTATTTTATTCAAGTTTGTTGTAATTTTTAGATTCTATATATAAGTGATATCATACAGGATTTGTCTTTCTCTGTCTGAGCTATTTCATGTAGCGTAATGCCCCTCAAGTCCATGTTGCTGCAAATAAGACAATTTCATTCTTTTTTATGGCTCAGTAGTATTCCATTTGTGTGTGTGTACGTGTGTGTGTACCACATCTTCTTTATCCAGTCACCTATTGATGGACGCTTAGGTTGCTTCCATACTATGGCATTATAGATAATGTTGTTATGAACATTGGGGTGAATGTATCTTTTTGAATTACTGGGTTTTTTGTCTGTTTGGTTTGGGGTTTTTTTAGATATATACCCAGGAGTAGAATTGCTTGGTCACATGGTAGTTCCATTTTTAGTTTTTTGTAAAACCTCTATACTGTTTTCCATAGTGGCTGCATCAATTTACATTCCCACCAACAGTGTATGAGGGTTCCCTTTTCTCCACATCCTCACCAATGTTTGTCATTTGTGTTCTTTTTGATGATGATCATTCTGACAGGTGTGAGCTGATATCTCATTGTGCTCACAGCCACCAGAACAGTCTTGGAAACTAGGAGCAAGTAGCAGAAGTGCCCTGACTTGAGATCCCTAAATTTTTTCAATCTGTTCTCTGATAATGAGTAGCAAAATCATGAAAAAGGAGGGAAAATACAATTACCACTTCTGAAATACTATTTTTCCTCTCAGTTTTATGTTTAAAAATTTAGAATATATTTTTTAAAAGAATTTTTGGAACAATTGATACTCTGTCTTCAACAGTGCTAGTAACACCTGATATCTGAAGACAAATCACTTTAATTATTTTCTCATTCCTAGAATCTCTGCAGTTTGCCCCTCCAGCCCCTTTTTTGGTGCTTCAGAAAAAAAAAATCTCACAAAGTATTGTTTGCATTTTAAGATTTTCCTTTCTGTTCAGGCAAGGGCCTCGTGATAACTGGGAAATATTCTGCGTTCTTAAAATTGGACATTTTGGCCCAGCTACTTGAAATATGAGGCTCATCGGCATTTATAGCAGTTTTGCAATTCACCTCCAGGCTGCGATTTGAAATGTTGAGTTTAAATGGAAATGTGTTATGATTGGACTTGCGTTACCTTGGAAAAGTGCCTTTTTCTCATGTAGTCTCAAAGTAGGAAAGACCAGTCTGTGTGCTCCCTGTGCTGTTTCTGTGATTAAACTTCGAGGAAATCAGCAATAAGACAGGGTTCTCACATCTTTGGATTTCACACCTGTTCTTGGTCTGTAAGTTACATTGAACTAAAAATTTCGAAAGAACTACAAAACCTGTATTTGAAGAGTTTATCTGTATGGGTAGGACTTAGCCTGGCATTTTTATCATCAATTTAAAAGGATGGTTTTACATAAAAGGATATGCTTATAAGGTAACTGAATAGTTCCTTTTCTTTAGAAGCATTTTGTAGACATTTAAAACTATTTTGGCTGCAAATCACAGGCTTAAAATGTTATATAATCACAAGTATGAAATTATTACTGTTGGTTTGAGTGTGTGCTTTGCTGAGTAATTTAGACAGTAAGACATTTTGAATCTCAGTCTAATACTTATTTAGAGAATCTTGAAGAGGGTATGAAATAACACAACTGAATTGTGTAACTGTGTTCTTACTAGAGCAAAATGTTCTTTAGAGGTTATGGGGAAGCATTGTGGTGGGTTTTTTTTAGTACTTTTTTATTGAGTTATAATCATTTTACGATGTTGTGTCAAATTCCAGTGTAGAGCACAATTTTTCAGTTATATGTGAACATGCGTATATTCACTGTCACATTTTTCTCTGTGAGCTACCACAAGATCTTGTATATATTTCCCTGTGCTATACAGTATAATCTTGTTTATCTATTCACATTTTGAAATCCCAATCTCTCTCTTCCTACTCCCCGCCCCCTTGGCAACCACAAGTTTGTACTCTACGTCTATGAGTCTGTTTCTGTTTTGTATTTATGGTTTTTGTTTTTGTTTTTTTTAGATCCCACATATGAGCCATCTCATATGGTATTTTTCTTTCTCATTCTGACTTGCTTCACTTACAATGACATTCTCCAGGAACATCCATGCTGCTGCAAATGACATTATGTTGTCAGTTTTTGTGGCTGAATAGTATTCCATTGTATAAATATACCACTTCTTCTTTATCCAGTCATCTGTTGATGGACATTTAGGCTGTTTCCATGTCTTGGCTATTGTAAATAGTGCTGCTATGAACATTGAGGTGAAGGTGTCTTTTTGAAGTAGGGTTCCTTCTGGATATATACCCAGGAGTGGGATTCCTGGGTCACATTCCTAGTCTTTTGAGGAATCTCCATACTGTTTTCCACAGTGGCTGCACCAAACTGCATTCCCACCAGCAGTGTAGGAGGGTTCCCCTTTCTCCACAGCCTCTCCAGCATTTGTCATATGTGAATTTCTGAGTGATGGCCATTCTGACTGGTGTGAGGTGATACCTCATTGTAGTTTTGATGTGCATTTCTCTGATAACTAGTGATATTGAGCATTTTTTTCATGTGCCTATTGATCATTTGTATTTCTTCATTAGAGAATTGCTTTTTAGGTCTTTTGTCCTTTTTTGGTTTGGGTTGTTTGTTTTTTTCTTATTAAGTCGTATGAGCTGCTTATATATCCTGGAGATCAAGCCTTTGCTGGTTTCATTTGTAAAATTTTCTCCCATTCTGTAGGTTGTCTTTTTGTTTTACTTATGGTTTCCTTTGCTGTGCAGAAGCTTGTAAGTTTCATTAAGTCCCATTTTTTTATTCTTGCTTTTATTTCTATTGTTTGTGTAGACTGTCCTAGGAGAACATTTTTGAGA